ACCTATGGACATCCAGAAATAATGATGGGTATATTGGCATTACTATCCATTGGCTGACTCCAAATTTTGAAGTTCATGATGTCATTTTAGGCATTAAAAAAATAGATCACCCACATACTAGTGAAAAGATTAAAGAATATCTAGATCAAAAGGTTCAAGAGTTTGGGTTGACCAGAAAAATAATTAGTGCAATTACAGATAACAGGGCAAATATAAAAAAAGCCATCAGAATCTGGGGTAATGTAGAGCGTATTGCATGCGCTGCTCATACTCTTCAACTTACAGTCATCCATACTCTAAAAATTATAAACCCATATATCAGAAGGGTCAATAAACTTATTAAATTTTTTAAATTGTCTAAACAAAGTCAATATCTTGACCAAGCGCAAATTGAATTAGCTTAACATAGTAAATCCACTTCGGCCCCAGTTCAACTATACAATTTCAGTGAAAACTCACCATCTGAGGCAGATAATGATGACAAGCCAGAAACATCTAAAACCAAATTTAAGTGCTGTGTACTATTAGTGACGTAAAAACTAGGTGGAACTTCACCTACAAATCCTGACAAAGGCTTATAATATTGCGTTCAGCCATTAAAAGGCTTGCCGTCACCCTATGTTTAGAAGATGAAATAGGTGTTAAAAAAGACTTGAATAAATTAAACCATCTTATGCTCAAAGATAATGAGTGGGCGTTGTTGCAAGAACTAATAGATGTGTTTAAACTATTTAATGAGCTAACAACTTATCTTAGTAGTATCAAATATACTACACTTTTAGCTGTTAATCCAATAATTGAATCATTAAAACTTGAATTTGCTGATTACAATGTATTAATGTCAGATGAACTTGAGATCGATGAAGAAAGTGTACCTAATATTGAAGGTAAAATAAAATAGATAGTAACCTTTTTTTTTTTTTTGCAATGTTAATATTAAATTAATACTTTAAACTTTTTTTTTTTTTTGCAATATTAAATATTAATACTTAAGATGAATCATCTGAAGATGATAGCTATAGCTCAGATGATACAAATGCCCAACAACTGCTTTCCAATAAAGAAGTAATTTTGCAAGTTCGAAGAGCTATTTATAATTCTCTTGAACATTATTGGCATGATCTAGGAGATATTAGATTAATCACTACTTTATTAGACCCTCGACTAAAATCAATATCAGTGTGGTCAAATGAAACATGAAATAATACAATTAATAAGCTACGTGCTGAATTTAAAGTTTGGCAAAATACTTCTATAACTGATGAATTGGTTGAAAACACTAACAATGAAATATTTTTACCCACACCTAGCTTCATAAAAAAAATATTTAGCCATAATCAAAGTCGAGTAAATCGAGAAATTGAAATCAATAATTACTTGAATGAAATGATTACACCAAATCTATCAGATACCGCAGATGTTTATGATTAGTAGAATACTAACAAGCACATATTCCCAATATTAAGCCGAATGGCGCAGAAATATTTATCGATTCCCACTACATCTATTCCAAGTGAACGGTTATTTTTGGATACTGGAAATCAAATTACACCCAAAAGAACCCGTCTATCACCCGAGGTTGTTAATGAATTATTATTTGTTAAGTGAAATAGCCTGTATTGTAAAAATGCTTGAATTTAAGTACTTATTAGTTTATGTTTAAGAAGCTTGTCTAATAGAATAAATACAATAAAGTACTTAACAATAAATCAAGAAATTTCTAAAATAAAAGAATTAATGAAAACAATGCAATATATTTTTTTCTAGTACACTGCAGCTATTTGTAATATAAACCATTAGAATAAAATACGCATAAGTTCATAAAGATTGTAGTAAAAATACTTTTTTATTATTATTTAAAAGCAATCCAAGATTAAGCGATAGACTAAAATGTTAGTTATCAAATACGTTAGCTTTTTTTTTATAGTAACTAAAGTGAAAATACTATATAGAACTAAACTGAAATTACTATATAGAACTAAAGCGAAATTCTATATAGAACTATGGTTATTAAATATGGATTAAATATGATCTAGTTAAGTAACAAGAAACTGACTTGACAAAAGGCAAATCACTTAAGGGTTATCAGAAGTTACATGAACAAGAACGTAAAACTTTAATTGGCTACAAAATATTAAACAAACATGTGAATACCCCATTTTTAATAGCTTACTCGAGTACAACAGATAAAATTTTATACTCAGGTATACTTGTCGATTACTTAAGTAACCCATGGGTTTACTTGTCGATTAACCGAGTAATGTTTTTTTGATTGAGTACAAACACTAATTAAGTAAATATATAATATGAGAATGAGTTAATAAAAATGCACTATATCATTTTTAATGAAATTTTTTTAAATCTTTGAACAAAACTAACTTAACAAAAACTTAATTAAAATTAATAAAAATTTTTTTAAATAAATTTTATATATTTTATATATTTTTAGAATTGTTTTAAAAAAATTTATTAAATTTGATAAAGTTATTGTTGAGTTATCTTTGTTTAAAGTTTTAAAAAAATTTAGAAAAAATATGGTGCGTTTCTATTGACTTACCCCCATATATAAATGATGCAAATTATGTGATGTGTAATTAAAAAAATTTCAAAAATCAATTTTATAAATCAATTATAATTGACTAATTTTTGTGTAAATCACTTGATCTAAAATTTTTTTAGGTGGCGATTTATCCTTAGTATATAGTTGTCATATCAAGAAATTCAAGCTGCCAGCCAAAAAATTATGGATCGTAGTATCTCAAAAATTCACAATATATCTAACATTAAAAATTGTGTTTTATAAGTAAAATTTCATTTTGAAAACTTTTACTTAAAGGTCAGAAGTTAGTTAACATAATAAATTTTTGTGTTATTTACGTTTTTTTTACAATTTCTTTTGGTTTTTCGCGTTTGGTTTGTTACATAAGATCCTGTGATTTTATTGGATCCGGATAGTCAGAAGCCTTGACATATGGCTCATAGGCAGAAGTTCGTCTGATTGGCCAATAGATTTACTTTAATTTTACATTATTTATACAGTTTAGAGTACTTTTGAAAAAAAACGGAAATCAACCATAATAAAGTAAAAAAAAAAAAACCATATAGAAAGTTTCATTAGAGTTGTAGGACTCCATAGTCAAAAATAAGATCTAATTCTCGTCCGTTTAAAAAAATTAGCTAGTAATAAGTTGATTTTATCAGATTATGAGAAGTTATTACTCTACTAACTTTCTTAAACGGACGAGAATTAGACCTTATTCTTGGCTATGGAGTCCTACAGCTCTAATGAAACTTTCTATATAGCTTTTTTTTTTATTTCATTATGATTAGTTTTCGTTTTTTTAAAAAGTACATAACTAATGTAAAATTAAATGAATTTATTAGTCAATCAGACGAACTTCTGCCTATGAACAAAAGGCAGTGTTGGCAATGGAGCCAATAGAGTTCACAGAGCTCCATTGGCTCCATTCGCAGCTCCATTGAGCTCATTGCTAACCCTGACATAAGGGTACCCATAGTTGACTGGTACAGTATATTGCATAATGCAGGCCTAGCTCTGGGCTTATTCCGGCCCTAAATTTGGGTCGATCAGCTGGATTTTGGTTGCTATCCGGTCAATGTCGTCGCGGATAACCAACCAATGGATGCTTCGTTTTTATTTATTTATTTATTTTTATTTTAAAATGATTTATAATCAATAAATAAGACAATCGCGATGAATTAAATAAAAAATAAGAAAATTTAATACGTATAACAATTTATTTTTATGCTCTGGATTTATATCGGTTTCTGATTCATAGTACGTAATAGTCATTAAAAAACCATAATTTAAATTATAACTGTTTTAAGTAATCATATCCTTTTAATTAAGACAAAAAAAGATTTTTTTTTTTTTTAGTATGCAAAAGGCAGTTTCATAGTCTACGGAGTTTACGGAGGATTTTTTTTTTTATGCCTTTACTTTTTTGTACTTTAAATAAAAATAAAATTCAAGCTTTTCTGTGAAACCATCAATAAAAGAAGATTTTCACCTCGAAATTCTTAATGTATCATAAAAAAAAAAAAATTACTAAATTGCATTATTTAATACTTATATAAAACTTGTTCAACTTATCACCTGCTATGTACTATAGAAACAATCTTTGTATTCATACATTTTTTAAAACTATGTACTTAAATTGTTGGTAAACAAGAGTTTGTTTCATTTGAGTTTCAAAAAATATATTCAACAATACATATTAAACAAATATACCTTCTTAATAATAAAGATTTCAGATTGATTATTAAAATAAAAATTTATACGTACATAATACGTTTAAAATACGTATGCAAATGATATCATAATATGCTAAATTTAAACCAGCTCTTTCATTACTGCATTAAATCTGAATGTTTAGTTACGGTAAAAGTAATATTGATCCACCAAAATGTGTAAAAAGTGAAGGTAAAACCACATATTGATACGGATCCTTAATTAGTATAAAAGTGGGGAAATCGGTCATCTTACCCAATGTATCCAAGTTATTTTCAGAGATCCTATTATTATAACCGACATGAATTAAAAATAACAAAGAGCGGATCGCATGCATATCAGTATCTAGATTCGTTATTTATGGTTACACCTTTAGAGATCGGGAGACAATAACCAAATATCGTGTGATTCAAATGTCGTAATACAAAAAAAAAAAAAAAAAAAAAAAAATTTAATTTTCTAAAACAAAATTTATTTTTTTTCGATTAAATATAATATTAGAAAAAACTAAAAGTACATTTTGTTTTTGATAAGAAAAAAAAGTCACTATGTACATGATAAACTTTTAAAAGAATTACACACAATATCTTAGACACTATTGCATTACTGTATATAAATAAATAAGTAAAATAAATAATATTAATGATATTATGAATCGGTATTGGTATAAGTATCCACGCTACTATCATAAAATTTCAAGTACCAAATAACAATCGAAAGTATTCCGGCAACCAAAAAAAGTGAAACAAATGACATTAGTTGATTATATTTTTTCCATCGATAATCTGCATTATTGCTAACATATCTAGGAAAAAATGATCCAAACCACCATAATGGTGGAAATAAAAATCCAAACATAAATAATATTGATCCACGAGGACATAACACTACTACTTCTGGTCGGTACGGCCTAATTGGCCGTGTTGATATTTTGTATCTGCCTGGTTTAAAATCAACTCGTCGTGTACTTTTGCTCCTACTTTCCGATTGTTTTTCGCTATCTTCACCATTAGGTATTTCAGATCCTGCTGCTAATGATGTTGAAGGTTGTGTATTTACTTTTTCTGAATCCTCTATTGGCTCTTGTGCTGATGCTTGTTGAATGTTATCAAAACCTGAAGAGTTATAATAATAATAATTATAAGCCCAGGAGGGTAAGCCACTTGAACCAGAACCTGATGAGCCCTGTGATTTTCTATTATTTTCTGAATCTACATTATTTATGGGTCCTGTGCCTTTACCAGTTTTTTTAATATTTTCTGTTTGTACAGGAACTTCTGATAAAAACCTTTCCGGATCAATCGGTGTCAAAGGTGTCAAAGGTGTATGTGAACGTGAAGGTGTGTGTGAACGTGGTGTCTGAGAATATGATCCATCGTTTAGGGAAGATACATGAGTAGATCTACTTTGTGTTCTCGGCTCTTCTAATCTTAATATTGGAGGTCTTGTAGGTGTCGTGGTACCTGAAGTTCTCGCGCCGTAACCTCGACCTTTTATCAAGTTTTCTGTAACTTGATATTGCCAACTACCAGGTTCATAGTGGGTGGTCGGTGTAGTTGGTCGAGATGTAGGGGCTTGCCCCGAAATTGAAGTTCTACGTTGCAACGACACTGTTATTAATAATTTGTGTATAGGTAATATATTGTTTTCGAAGAAACAAACCTCCGACTTTAGCAATGTAACTACATACAAAATTTCGGAAATATAGTATTAAATAAGTTTTAAGTAAATTATATAAAACGATGAAATAAATAAATGAATGTAAAAAACCAGAAAGGTAGTTGTCGTTATGAATAGTAAGAACAGAAATTGCAATTTATGGTCTTATGAATACTTTTTCAATTCAATCACATGAGTTAACCTATAGTTAAAATGCATTACTTATTCCGTTCCTTTTTTTGGTTCAATAGGAACCATTTGTGTATATTAAAACACACTGAGTGTAACCTTATGTAATTTAAGTGCCGAGATTGGCAAACATGATAATAATAGATTATTTAAAAATCAGGATTTTGTACATTTTGTACGTAATTATACCGAAGATTGTTTTCCATTTTCGGTAAAAATAGGAACTTGACAATAAAGGAAATTTTTAGTCTCGTGCTCTATTCAAATTTATTTTTTTATCAAGACAATTTATACATTTGAACTCATCTAAAAATAAAATAAAAATAAAAAAAAAAAAGGAAAGAGACGATGCTGCTGCTGTACAAATTGTAAATAGTGTGAATGTGTTGTGAATTGTGCTAAAGTTGTAGAATGGATGTTTTTGAAAATATTTGAACAAAGATATACAAATTCTACACTTGGTTGATAGACCTTTTTACAAATATCAAAACGAAAAAAATTGCTATGTTAATATCACTGGTCCGTTAATAATAATCAATTAAAGTATAATTACCGGCTAACACTATCAAATAGACGTTCTATATCTGTTGCACATCTTGTGAATGAATGACTCCAGAAATTATATCGAGGATTCTTAATTAATTCAATAAATGTGATTAAAAGGCCCCATGGATGAGGTCGGTTTACAATTAATCTTTCCAAAAGCACCCTATCATATTCATTGAATATTTTAACATTAAAAACATCATATGGTAATGGTTATAAGAAAATAAACGAGTCCTAGGTGCATTTACCTTGTAACTTGTTCCTTAATCACCTCTTGACTACCTTCAGCAAAAAGATAGAGCAAAATACAACTAAAATAATGTGTATGACTGTTGGGATATCTAAGTTGATTGGCGATAGCACTCAAAAAGAGGTATCGACCTATATTAAAAAACGAAATAAATGAACATCCATGTGAAATTGTAAATTAGATACAATAAAAACATCACACACCTTCAGAATCTAGATCATTCAACAATTGTTGGAATATATCCATAGGTGCACTATGTGTCACTGGTGGTGTTCCTTGAGCTGATTTATTATGAAGTTGACCAATCGCTTGAATTCCGACATACAAAACAAGTGAATTTATGATTGAAACATTGTATTTAGAACCGGTCGATGTTAACTCAGGTTGATTGATTGTATCAATCATCAATTTGTTGCGTAAATCCATAGGAAAAGAAATAGGCGAGCGTGTTTTCAAATAAGTGTCAATGTCATTTTTAAGATTATTGGCAAGTAAAGCAGATGTATAATCGGAAAGAACACGTGGTGACTGAGATATTTCTGGTAGTAAATCTACTTTGAGATTTGGCGTGAAGGGATCGGGAAGTCTCATATTACGAGGAAAAGCGCTCAAAATAAGGTTCCTTAACTGAATACAAGATGATGGAATCACATCACAAAAGCTAAAATGATAGTCACAAAGGAACTCTGGAAAATCGTGCAAAAGCACTAGTAGAACTCTGAGTGTCCCCTTATATAATAGACGTATAGTGTCCCTCATTTCTACATTACGGAGAAATGGTACTAAAAACCTGAACAAACATATGAGCAACTTATGAAACGCAGGCCAACCCTAACAAAATATAAAATACAAAATATAATAATAAATATTTTATAACAAATCTGGAATTACACTAGGGAAAAAAAGTTTTACCTTTTGATTTTCTGCGAGCAAAAGTTTGGGCATAAAAAGACGGTGAGAAATTAATGAAAGCCATGCAAAGGTAAATCCAGGGAAGAAAAATGGTTGCAATGTATGGAATGTATTATTGCTATAAACAGAATCGAGAATGCGTTATGTGAGGAAATTAAATATGAATACGGCCGTAAATAGCTTTAAGTGCAACATACCTTAATGCAGTAAGTATTTGAAAATAAATAGGTTGGAGTTGTTGCTCATAAGCATTCAAATCATTTAATAAACTAGAAAATAATCTAAAGAAAGGTTTTTGATTGAACTGTTGTCTTCGTTGCTCATGTGCTTGCGCAAGCACCAATACAATGATTGACAAAATCTTCGTCAAATAGTTGATTTTAGCAACATTATTGTTGACACCATCAGGATCAGAGTGATACTTCACCAATAGAACAATCAACTTTGAAAAAGCATCAATTGCCTGATACGCAACAGCAGGAGTCGCATGTGAGGTTGCCTTTTGTTTCAAATAATGCTCAACACTCATCTCAGTGCAAACACGGAAAAACATAGATGAAATTTCTTCACCCTTCAATACACCTTGTTGCTGCAACTGAATAATATTGTAACAATACAGAATATTTAATCATATTTAAAATATTGAATATTCAAATAATTTTATGATTACCATACCTGCATTATAAAAGTAGCGTAAATCTTTTCATTTGATGTTGGGTGTTGATAAACACGTACCCATTCCGCAAAGAAAGAGGTTAATTGTTCACGCAAACCCGGATTTTCGACATCCTTAGTAAAGACATCTCGAGCAGTGCGTGGGCGTAGATCTTCAAGGAACTGAATTACTCTATTTTCACGTTACCATGTTATTAGAAAATTAGTTAAATCATATGAAAACCAAATTAAAAAAAAAAAATTTACATTTCGGGCGCCTTGCCACGTTGTGTAAGTCTTGTTAGAGCATCGATTGAATGCATAAAATCATTACGTGACGCTAATTGTGGTTCTTTTAGAACACACTCTCGAATCAATTTGGCGGTAAAGTCGATCACAGTGGGTCTTCCATTTTCAATAAGTTTGGCAAGCTGTGTATCTTGATCACTTGCATTTATAAGACCAGCTTTTATTAAAGCCACAACAACAGGTACAATAAACTTTCGCTAAAACATGGAATATTCACAATTAATAATGCAAAAAAAGTAAAATATATAAAGACATAACAAACCTCGTCATCTGCATAAATCAACCAGTTAGTCACTTCTTTTGTGACTTTATAAGAAGTTTCACATAATCTTTCAAGTAACATAACATAAACTTCACGCGATAAATTAGAATCATTCTTATATAAGAGTTGGACTACTTTTTGTGAAAAATGTAATGCTGTCTCGTCACGATTAAACGATTGTGTAGCTAATAAAGGAATCTCTTTAACCAATACACGAATTTCACTATTTACTGGTAGAGATGGCCAAGAAGCTTGCGGATTCTTGCTAATCAATTTATCCAACTCACAAAGATATTGCTAAGATATAAAAACATAAAATATAAATATAAATATCAATATACAAAAGATTAATAGCACCATAAAAAATTCGTTCAAGTATTTACAGCAAATTTCTCTAAACTTTGATGAGCAGTGATAGGAATGTGAATTTGAGAACTGTCAAATGGCATTTCTGCTGTGTTATAAAGATGTCCCATCGGAAAGTCCTGCCCTCGATGTATACCAACTCGCGAATTACGATCATCTAATGCAGTATCATGTGAAAATATCATACTGTCAAATGTCATGAAAAGAACCTTATTGGATTACAAAGCATAAAATATAAAAGTAAATAGCATCCTCATTCGTACCGTATATGGCAGCTGCCTGACTGCTAAGACGTGGAATTCGCGCAAAGTCTTCGTATACACGCAATTGTTGTGGTTGTAGCCCATTAGGCTTTAACCTTAAAGGTTCAGGAAGGTTGCTCATGTAACGTGATATACCAGAATATACCGTCATATCATAATATGGCTGGCCGGTTCGCTGTTTGGATGAAAATAAATAAGATACAGGACTAGACGATATTTATGAATTAAATTGTATAGTTCTGAAAAATTACCTCCCGATGTTTTTTACGATTGCTAAACGATGAGGCTAGAGACTCATCAATCTCTGGAACAGCCTTTTCCATAGCAGCCTTCTCAATGAAAGAACACGCCAGCTCAAGGTTATCAGACACAACTATCAAAATAGCTTGCTCCGAAATACTTTGCTAATTAATTGAATAAATAAAACTGAGTGAATTCTAACCTAATTACTGAATAAAAGAACAGATTCTAAAACTTATACCTCTGTATAACCATTCTGTAACAACAAATTTCTTAAATGTGTCACCATGCTTATTCGCAATGGTTCCTTACAGGTGACAAGAGCAAGGCTCCCGGCTAAATTCTGAACCATCAAGTGTGCAGCATTACGCATTTTTTCTTCGTTCGGCTCCAATGCAAAATCTTTTATGATAAGTTCGCGAGTTGATATTCCAGCTATGGTGACTGATCGCTCTACTACTGGTGTAATTATCTGAAATTTTTACAATTCAGAGTTTATCAACCGCTAAACCTCTCCCCCACAAAAATAAATAAACCAACTTACTTCGCGAATGGCTCGATCAATTGCCAAATGAACAATTTTTCTCATCATGGGTTGATTCGCAAATGCGGATAGGTTAGGGTTGAATGTGATATATGGAGCGAGGTTTGTAATACCTTCATCTACTGATCAATATATGTATCTATATGAATAATTCTAATGGTTTATATAGAAAAATGTAAATCTATTTACCATTAAAAGGCATGGGCGTGTTAGGAATATGACTCGTCGGCGTATTTGGGATAGATGGAGGCTGAGATGATTGTGGAGGTTTAACAGGATGACCATAATCGTTTCTAGTCCATTTATCAAACTCATTTCCAATTCTAGTCGGTTGGGTAGGAACCAACTCTTTTGGAGGTCTATCTTTTAGAACAGTTGTGGGTTCAATGTCCTTTAATTCAATTTCTAAACTCTTACATAAAACTTCAATTTCGAATTTCAATGTAAGTTTAAGATCAGCGTATTGATATAATTCTACCAATAATTTAAGTATAGCCATAAGCCATGGATTCGGGGGTTTAAAAACTTTGCTTTTACATGCTTGTTCAAGGACTTTGCATACGAAAGGAATTACTACTATTAATCTGTTATTATCATAACCTTCAACCAAAAGTTCCTGTTTATGAAAGTGTAAAACAAGAAGAAACAATGAATAATATGCAATCAATCATGAAAAACATGTTTTTTATTTGAACATACTTTAAACGCAATGTTCTTATGTTTAATTGGTTTGTTTCGAGCAAGAGTCATGCCACCGAGCCATGATCCAAGATTTTTCAGTAAAGATCGCTCACTCGGAGATTGCACTGTCTTTTCAGAATTCAATAAGATTTTAATATTTGCAAAACTTTCATGTAATACGTGCTTAACAAGCAATGGAATTTCTAATGCATCGAGAAATTGAAGATACAATTGGTGGTAATTTGGTTCGATACTGGCTCTTTTTACAACAAGATAATTAGCAAACCAACGATAATGCGATTCTTTGAGGAGCTCTTTCATTTCAGCCACTTTAGTATCCAAATTACTTTGAGCAACATTATTTATAATGAAAAGGATCTTGTCTTGAATGGCCTCACCGGGAATCTCGTAATCATCTTTATCTGCTGCTAGCAATGTATCTAAATTCAATGCCGTAAATGCAGGTTTATCAAAAACCTTATTTGAAGTATCAGGAACAGGTCTACTCGCTGGTAATAGTTCATTAGTGCTAGTAGATTGAGACGAAGCTTGTTCGCCATTACCAATTCCAAGCGTATTAACAGATGTGGGAGTTGTGACAGTGGTTGAATTAGCATTTGCAGCCAGGGCAGACCTCACATATTGAATGATATCCGGATGAGATTGCTGTAATTGTGGAATTTGCAAAAGATGAGAACAATACTGTGGCCATTCCGGAAGACGAGATTGGAATCGTAGCAAGGCTTGAACTCCAAAGTTGAACATTTTTGAATCAGAAGGATTTCTAAGAGCATTTAAAACATAACGAAGAGCTATACCAAGTGCCATATACCCTACAAGCTGATATTGAATCAGCGAACCAAATATGACGCTAGTAATTGTTAACTCCCTTTGTGGATATTTTGGAAAGAATTGATATTCGTCAAATAAATTATGCACCATGCAAGAAAAAATCTCATTCTCTCGGTGCTCTTGAGAATTTTTAAATTTTTGAAGAAGTTTAATCATCTCCTCAATACCAATCTCCTGACGATAAACTCGTTCATAATATGAATTTGCCTCTTCTTCAACGTCAGCTGAAAATGTCTCACCAGTCACACCGCTTTCAGAGGATGGCCCAGTGGTGAGACGTGGATACACTTGTAAGGCAGCTCTATGAACCTCTTTAAACGATTCAGTGTTTTTTCCAGACATAGTACTACCATAGAAAAGTCACAATTAGTGTAAATAAACGAATAGTAAGATATTAAAAATTTATAATAAATTAACAAAAGTTAACCTATTCTGAAGTATTCGTAAAAATATGGCAATCACATCAATAGAAAGTCTGACTGACTGGATGCTTCCATTAGTTTCACGAGTTATTTCTAGAGCGACCTTTTGATTCAGAAATTCCAAACAATCATGAATGAATGAATCACCATACTCTACAATATTGTCTTGAAGCCATTTTTCTAAGTTGAGATACTCTCGACGTGAAGCAAGTGCTGCCAAGTCAATAGAGAAGAAAAACGGCTGTATAGCCAGAAGTTGATTTAGAATCTACAAATAAAAGATTGCGGAACAAAATTATTCATTAAACTTTAAATATCCGTTTAACATAATAAAAAAGACATCCGTGGTATTATACCTTTAGGTCTTGGGCAATATCCAGTATCCTAGAAATAGTCATAGCATCTTTTTTATGCATTTCAAGACAGCCTTCTGTAAAAAGAACACTATTGACTTGCCACAGACGTGTTAGAACTGGTGTTGAACTTGAATGACCTGCTAAGAATACTGAAACCAATCGGTTTAGAATCTCTTGGTGTAATGCGTTCCAAGGTTTCTATAAATACAACGGGTGTTAATAGTATTATCATTCTATAATCAGGCAACAATATTAAATGATAATATATACTTACTTGAACTTGAGCGAGACCCAAACAGACAACCTCAGGTGTCTGCTTTGTGAACTTTTCAAATAACAATTTAATTTCTTCGTACAATTCTGTATCTGCCATCTTTATTAACGTTTCAATCAGTTCCACAGAATTCCAAGGATTTGACGTTAATAAACCAGCCATTGATTTAAAGTTAGCATTTGAATTCGCAAAATCCTCCAAAGACAAAACTTTTTGTACTGGATAATCATTAAGATTAAATGTTTCTAGTGGTGCATCCACAATTCGATGCAAAAAGCTAAATTGTCCTTTAATATTTTTCCAACGACCCCAAAAAGCATGAAGCGGAAATTGCGACCGATCCTGAAATGTCATTAGTAAGAAATCGATAAGTTAATGGATAAGACAAATAAAATTTGTAAATTTTGAGAACTCATAACTACCTTTGTTGCTTTTTTATAAGCAGTCAAGATAATTTCTAAACCTTTTGTATCGTTAACAACAAATTCCGGATAATCAAGTTTTTCTATTATTTTAGCCCAATCCAAGTGTGGTTGCTAATAAATGCATATATATCAATTTATATAATATTTAAAATAAAATAAACGACGAAAGTAATCAAATAACACACACCAATTCTACTAAAGTTGTTGCAAAAACATCAATGTTCCAAGATTGTCTATTATCGTGATCAGGTGTTTGATTCCAATTAGCAGCACCATATTCAGAACTGATATGGCTATTCGCTATCATACCAAGAGCTTGAGCAACATCATCTTCCTTGATAATTTCACCGGATTCCGTCGATACCACATCTAATTTATTTAAAGCACTACGAAATGCAGCTCCAGAAGAGCAACAATTATAGCCCGAATCCGACATAACTTTAACCAAGGATAATCGAGATGATTCACTTTGTTCCATGCTGGCACGAAAATTATCACTAAAATGAATATCTAAATTTAGAAATAATATAAGGCAACAAAATTTTAGGGATAATTTACTCACAAAGCAACACTTTGATTTGAACTTAGGAGGGGAATAAGACCAGTGGGCACAGTGAGCTGAGAATTATATTGCGATTTTATGGGGCTGGAATCGATTTCACTTTGCTGTGATGCGAGACTTCGAGACTTTGCTTCACAATAAGTAAGTAAATGTTGTCTTAATTCGTTTGAGAGGTTTTCTTGGACCGATTGGTCTCCCAAGGCCTTCACAAGGGGAACAAAATTTTGGCTGATTATTTCACGTGCTAGTAATCAAATATTCAAGGAATATATTTATTTGAAATTTTTAATAATAATTTCATTAGATTAAAAAACATGAATATGATCGTTCTCTCACCTTGTTCAGCAATTTCCTTTCTAATAGCCGACAGCAAAGAAATGCAAAGTCCGACTTTTTCTACCGGATTAATTCCAACGTGCTCTAAGAAACTATTAAGGTCAAGATCCTTAAATGAATCACTGTGATCTATAGAATTGAGTGCGTCGCAAAAAACTGCAGATAATGCTGGATCGCTCGCGGCTGCTTTGACTTTCTCGATTAAAAGACGATAGCTCAGGGAAAGATCCGAGTTGCGAGTACGAATGCTGCAAATTTTGCTTTGATTGGCAATTAAAAGTCGTCGCAATAAATGGAAATGTGTATCCTGACCGTGTTGGTCTAAAAGCTATTGATTGGTAATTTCAATGCCAGCGAGAAGGTTAGTCAAATGATGAGAACGATCGTTAAATTTACAATGTACATAAAATATTTTTAGCAATGAGATTTATAAATCTGTATTGTCTGCTTTTCGAAGGACATTTTGCTGACAAACGCACATAAATTTGTAAACGAGATAGAATGATCAAAGATGTTTAACACTTACAGAATTAATCTCAGCTACGTTGCGAGCGTAATTATCAGCCGAAAGGGTAGATAATAGAAAGGAAATTTGAGCTTTTACAATAGTAGTTAAGCTCGTTTGAGAAGAGGATCTCAAGTGATGGGCCGTAGTGGACGACGTCTTTGCTGTAGAAGAGTTACTGTTAACAGGTGGTGTTAGGGAAAAGGACGTGAACGACGATTCCTCACTGCTCATAATGGGGAGGGGTACATTATCTTCTTGCTGTGAACAGTAGAAGCCGAAGTGAATACCAACGATGGGGCTTTTCAAAACTGCGGGTTTATTCACAACTATATAATACTTATTACAGTGCTTACATCATTCATTGTAAACAAATATCCATAAAATAGGATAAAACTCCACTGAATAACTTTTTTTTATATTCTAAAAAGGGAGAAACTTTAACCAGTCTTGATGTAGTATAGGTGATAGGTAATTGCAATGATGTGTGCAGAATGTCGATGTGCGCATACTAGGTAATCTGGTAATAACGTAGTATTAAAAAAATCTTTATGAGGCGTAAATTTTCGGCTTCGGTGGTTCGGAAGATTATGCAAAAAAAAAAGTAATTCTAATCGGAGCTTCTATCCGAACTATTTTGAAATTACCGAAGCGCAGAAAAGTTCGTAAGTACTTAACGTCAGAGTGCTATATCAATATAATATATCAGTTACACGCAGATCATGAGGTGCCTAACATAATGATCATTTGACCAGAATTAACAGATTAGCCTAGACCATAAGCCTAATCCTGATTCTAACTCAAGCCAAAGCAAATGTTATATGAGGAATGGACTAGCACAATCAGACCTCGATATAGTCACTCTTGATATAGTCACGAAGTATAACTCATTATCGTTATCGTTATAAAATTATATAACCTCTATATAGGCACTATCACCTTAGTCACATTGAATTTTGGTTACCAATCCGGTGATTATATCGAGGTTTGACTGTAATATATACAGTCTAAAAAAATTTCGCACATTACCGTTACGTGATTTTATTAAAAGAAATTCCGCTATTAGATTAGGTCTAGGGTCCCGCTAGTAGGTTAAGGTTGGATTTGAGAGTTATAGTTACATTAAAATTTCGCAAGAAAACTTTTTATGAATGATTTTTTGATTTTTTTTTTTTTACGTTACACCTGATCTCGCAATCCGATTGGCTAGCAAAATTTTTTTTAGTCAATATTAAATCACAGAATTAGTGTACCAGTACCAACAGGAGGAACTGTCGATGTTACCATTTTTATTATAATAAAATGGTGTGGGATTATAATCATAACATGTACTAGCGGAATGATCTGGTATTGTAAAATGATTTTTTTATATGTCGCACACCGGGTGAAGAATCAGTCGTGTAACATCGACGGTTCCTTCTGCTACCAGTACCGGGGTAATTGGCGATACCCAAAAATCACCTGCTTGCTGATAAAATAAAAAATAACGATAATTTCGATGAAATGGCTTTCAGGAATCCCTTACACGAAAAAAAAAAAAAAAATGCAAAAAGCTACAGCATTAGAAGGACTATATGTAATTGAAGATTTTATTACAGAAACTGAAGAACAAGAACTAATACAAGCCATTGATTCAAGAAGCTGGTGTGGCAACGGTATTGCGTGTGTAGAAAACTTAGCAATTTTTAAGTGATACTATTGGAATAGTCGAACCTGATTATTATTTTTTTTTTTAAAAGTCCAAATCCTGAAATGAAAAGACGCACACAACACTATGGATATGAATTTAGCTATAGATATAGGTAACATCTCAGTCTAATATATATATATTACATTATTACGTACGGTTTTCATCGAATTATTCAATTATAGGAAAATTATGCAAAATTTAGGGCCATTACCAACCTTTACCGATTTCATCGTCAAACGATTTAAACAACAAAAAATAATTGATTTCGAAGATGAACCGAATATGTGTATCATTAATGAATATGAAGCCGGACAAGGTATGATTTGGAAACAAAAGTGACGCATTTAAAATCATAATGTATTCATTGGCTAATAATTTTCGATGCGTTATAGGAATAATGCCACATACTGATGCTGCGACTATATTTGGGCCGATAATTTTGAGCCTTTCATTATTATCTTCGTGTTTGATGAAGTTTACACATTCTAATAATTCTGAAACACAATTTTTAACAGTACTACGTATATATTTGATTTAATAATTATTCATAACTGAGGTTATTATGAATTAACTAAATATTTTAACCTATTTAGCGCCAAGATCTTTGCTAATCATGACAAAATCTTCAAGATATGATTACAAACATTCCATATCAAAAGACATTACAGAATGGTTTGACGGAGGTGAAAATGGAGAGAAGCAGGAAATTATTCGAAGCCGAAGAGTTAGTTTAACATTTAGAACTGTGCGTAGTTCTGGAATGGATGTGGACATAAGTAGTTGACGAGAATAAAGTTACTTGACGTCTTGTTATTTTGACTTATCGTTTCTTCGAAATAGAACGTGGTGGGATTATGTTTTTCAATTTCATTTCCCAATGACAAAACTTTCAATATGTAAAATGATAATCTTGTAAATCGATTATACAATTCATTGAAGTCTTTTTTATATATCTTTACGGTACTTTCTCGAAGAGCTTGCGTAACCTATTTTGACTATGAAACGTAGCATGAAGTAAACTTAAAACGTTTGAATCGTACTGCAAATATGTTTGTTAGTTGGTCAAATAAGTTGATGTTATCTAAATTTTATGTTAATTCATGCAAAAAATTATTAAAACTTAATCTAATTAAAAAGATATAGGCAATTTTTGTGTATATAGAAAAGCCAATCAGAGTGCAAGATCCGATGTTTAATATTTGATATATTAAACTTTGAAAATTTAAAGAAAATTAATAATACTAGTGTATGTATGCACTAGTATAATTTGTAAATTTATGTAATATAAATTTTAAAAAAAGCAAAAATTAAATTGATTATTGTTAAATTAAGATTAGAGTTTATGATTTAAGTTAGAATATAGTCTATATTAAAATTTTCTGAAGATTTTTTTTTAAAGTTGTTTTGTGGTATTTTTTCTGAATTTTTAATATTTGTTAATAAATTGTTTTGTGATATTTTTTTTGGTCCTTTAACATTTAATTAGTAAATTGTTTTGTAGTATTTTTTTCTGGTTTTTTAATGTTTAATTAGTAAATTGTTTTGTGCATTTTTTTCTGATATTTTAAATTTTTTTTTTTTTTATTGTTAAAGGCCGTACTTTATAACAGTTTTTTATTAACATATTGGAGTTAGTTTACATTATTTTTTATAGAGAAGAGGGTACAACTATTCATGCGTGCAACTTTTAGTTGCCTATTTAAGTAGTCTGTTCTAAGGTTTACATTAGATGTTATCTATAATTTACTAAGAAATTATTCATTTTTAAACCCTCTGATCATCTATTTCATTAATATAAACTATTACTAAATCTTCTATATATACTTAGCTAGTATACTGTCTAAGCAGTACTGTGCTTTTCTTTTCTAAACTGGTTCTTAGGTTATATACATTTTAGAGTATTGTTATAGATGAAAGTCTTCTTAATTTTTACATTATAATGATGACACAGCACAAGAAATCTCTTACAGGTATATGCAGTGTCCAAAAGGGAAGTATAGTTTCTGTTAAACATTATTAAGAAACTATACTCTTCTCTAAGACAGTTCAGGAAAGGTAATGCAATACTAATAATTTTATTTTATTTTACTAAAAGAAAATAAATCTTGCCTGTAGAAATTATCTTAGAGAGAAAATATTAATATAGTTTATAATCAAAAGTTGTTTATTAAAGTAATAACAAGAAGAGTTATCCTTAGGTTTCTGTTTCTAAAGAATCTTAAAATGTGTTTACAATATTTAAAAAAAGAAAAGTATTTGTTGTTTAATTAAATTTAGAAAATTTAGTAATATTTATATATCTATAAGCTAAGTGACTAAATAGTTAAGTAATTAAATAACTAAATAACTAAGTAACTAAGTGATTGCTAAGTAACTAGAAGGTTCTAGTAACTAATGATTAATAATTACTAAATAACTAATTACTAAGTAACTAAGCAACTAAGTAGCTAAGTAACTAAGCAACTAAGTAGCTAAGTAACTAAACAATTAAGCATTAAGTGATTACTGTTCTAGTAACTATTACTAATAATAATATAATAATAAAGATAACCAATACTAAATAATAATAATAAAATAATAATAATAATAATAATAATAATAATAATAATAATAATAATAATAATAATAATAATAAT